ATCAGAACCAATCTTTTTTTCATAGGTATATGGTCCTAAACATCTATATTGACACTTCAGTTAAGTACTGACCGTCACATAATTGTGCTCATATTAAATGCCTATCTGCAGAGCATCATTTACGTGAACCAGAAACTAGCTGTCTGTCTATGATACAGAAGGTTGATTCGATTACACAAACTGATGATACAGAAACTAGCAGAGGATTAGTAAAATGAACTTATGGTAGTGCTTGTTTCCTAATATTTGAATCAACTAATCAAACTAGCATTGGGATGCGTGTTTTACAATCATCATGAATGTTTTGATGAAGCACCCAACAAAATCCAATAAATCACAGCATTTTGATCATGCATCATATGCCTAAAAGAGGCTGATAAAAAGGGGGGAAAGTTGAAATCATACATATGATAGGCAAAAGATCGACTTTTGGTCAATGAACTACTTCCACATATGCAAACTACTTTCTTCTCTATAACAATGAAGCTACTTCCCCAACTTGTACCGTTCACATAGATGTAAAGGGTTATAGGAACATGATGTTTCTTATAATCCTTTCAAAAAGTTTACAAAAAGAATATCGGTCCCCGAAATTTCAAAGCTAAAAATTGAATAGGAAATCGTTTAAAAGAACATTAAGCAGAAACTCACTGATACTGAACATCTGAGAAAAGATTTAACAGATTAAAAGTTTGACCATCAAGATACATGTAAATGCCTTCAAATGCATTATGCAAAGAAGATAGATATAATAAACCCGGGAGTAAGCGAGATTGTTACTTCTCAACGATCCGATACACGCAAATTAGGAGCACAAGCAAGAATCGTTACCTCGCAAGGAGCTGATACATAAAAATTAGGGAGCTGTTATATATGTGTGTGAGAGTATACATGAAATATTAGGGAGAGAAGCAAGTCCCTGGCAAGGAACAAAACTGGAAAGGCAGAAGGCTATTTGGCACAGACTAACCTTATCAACTAACCATACCAAAACCAACACCTTGCCTAATTGCCATTTTCCAAGTCTAGGGGTGAATGATCTCATCGCCCGGCGATCAAATTCATTATTAAAAAGCAAGCATCACAATCAGATTGAAACTACGGTAATTGTCCGTGAGTTGGAAGTATTTTATTGACGAACTCATAGACAGATAGAAGCTTCAGGAAAAAAACCAATCTTGCATCACAATCTTGAACAGCTCTTTTGTACTTCTTCTCAGGCATTACATCAAACAATGGATACACACTAAAAACAGTTTTAAGCTATTTCATTACCACTCACCATGGAAAAATAATAAAATAAACAAATATTTATAAAAATAGAAACAAAAAAAGTACATAAAATCAATGATGATAAAATACTTTGAAATGGGTCTCTGGCATGCAAGGTGCCATAACCAGCTATAATGCCCAGATTAAATATAACAACCCCAGATTATGGAAGGTATGAATAATAACCAAATATGGTGAAAAGTACAGATTTTGGCAAAAATTAGGCATACTTTATAGACTAAAGAAACCACCTTTGAAATCGAGATGATATAGGGCTGTACCTATGTTAAAACTTGAAGCCAAGCCCCTGCCCTAGGATTGAGAGTAGGCTGTTTATGGAGGGAGCCAATAATGAAAATTGGAAATTACTACAACAAGGCAGCAGTCCTCTGCAATATTACAACATTGCCCTTACCAGCCTTGCATCCATTTCCAAATTACAGAAAAGGAAAATCCATGAATTTGACAATCTGTTGTCATTTTCTCGTCATCCAATCATTTCTTTATTGAGGCTTTCACATGGAGATGAGTCATACTTGAAAGCGGCTGAACAAAAACAGACAAGCAGTTCACGACAACTGCTACTGAAAAGCTATGAACAATTCTTCGGAAAAAGGAGTAGGATTGTCGATATATTTTGTCTTGTTACATGAAGTCTTCGTCATCAAATGTAAATTGTAAGTATTATTTTCAATACATATACTTATAATCGTTTAATCATGTGCTGGTTTCCAAATCTTGTCGACTTGATAGAAACGCATGTTCTTTATCTGAATGAGTCTATTGCACTTAGTCTCCCACAAAATTAATTAGGAGTAGTATTTGCCAAATTATTTAATAATTTTTTTATAATTAAAAAATAATAAAAAGCGATAATGTTTTTAACTTGAATAGCTTGGTTTATGAATTTCCGAGCTTCTTGCATCTCTTCTCAGCCACAAAACAAGGATCGTCTCTATCTTGCAATGATGACTAGTCTGAAATTAACAAATTAATTAACGTGACAAAAAATCGTACGAACTGAGTGGTCTGGCAGTGATGAACCATTCCAAAATCAACAACTGAGTGGTCTGACAATGATCTCCACTTATCATGTTCATAGTTTAAATCGATTAGCATTTGTATGTGTCTCACGTGGCTAAATTAAGGAAATAAATCCTTTGAAAAATATTAAAAAATGGATACATGTCTAAAATTAATTAGAGAAATAAGATTATTATTGCAACAGGGACTGGAGTCGTTACTTTTTGTCGATGATATTATGGAAATTGTCATATTTTGTTGATATATTTTTTTATTTTTTTTAGGGTGTGTTTAGTTAATGGAATATAAGATTATCGGTGGGAATGTAAGATTACCAGGAAATAAGATTACTGGGAATGTTGTATTTTGTGTTTGGTTGGTTTAGCAGGAATGTAAGATTACTGTGTTTGGTTAAAGGAATAAAATATTATTGGAATGTATATTTGATCAAATTATCCTTATTATATATTTGTTTTTTTAACAAATTGAAAAATATTTATATATTTTCTTTAAAAAATTATATTCATAAAATTTATATAATTTTTTACAAAATTAAAAATATAAAAAGGTTTAATAAAAGGGTAAAATTTTATTTTAACCCCTGAACTTCATATAAAATTTTAATTATAGATTTTTTTTTTGTAAATCTAAAATAGTTTAAGGATAAATTTGTAATTTAACAATCGTAGAATTTTTATTATTCAATGATAGAAAAATGATATTTAAAAAAAATTAAAGGTATTTTAGTCCAAAACACCGGGAATCCAACAATACATAAGGAAAGAGAGGTAATGACATTCCCGGTAATATACTCAAAAAAATCCACTATTAGTAATCTTACATTACCGGAAATGAGATTCCCGGGCTAACCAACGGGAGAATATGAATTTCATTCCCATGAAAATCTCACATTCCCCCATCCAAACACCCCTTTAATATACATTTTTAAACATTATCAGCATTCTCATCAGCACTCTCATTTTCCTAGAAGGGATTTTTTCTGAAAATTTATATTTTTAGCCTTTCTAACTTTATCTTTATTTTAGTCTCGAAATTATAAAAATGTAGAAAATTAAGAAAGTCATCGATAGGATACGACAATTTATATAATAAAATATTTAAATATGTTATGTATATAATTATAAATAAAACTGAAATCTTTGATCTTAGTAATAAAATGAAATGTTATTTTTACTAGAAGTTCGGTGGTTAAGTAGTTGCATATACAGAGTATGTGTGTTATTTTCAATAACTTTAAAAGATTTTGAACATATACTACCTTATAACTATCTAATATTACACAAAAATAAATAAAACTATCCAATTTTAATTATTAAAAAATATGATCGTTGTTTGAATATGTTAGTAGAATTAAAATATTTTATTATATTATATAAGAATCAGTAAAAACTCCTTCCACTTTGAAATAAGAGTCGATTAATAAATAAAAATGTTGATTGTAATTTTAACAAGAGTCTGCTGACGTGTGAAATTAAAACTACCGTCTAAACGACATGTCAAATCAAGTGAAAGGACTACATCTTTGACTAGCCTTTTGAATATATATATATATATATATATATATATATATATATGAAAAACGATAAAATCAATAATGTCGTCCCTGTGAGCTGTGGTTAGCTGCTGCATTACCTATATCAGTAATTAGGCTTCTACCCTACATCCTAAATTAACTAACAATCTCGCCAATTTGATCATCGGAATCACATGACGACCTCCATTTCAACGTGCATGACAATTACCTAAATTTCTCTAAGTAACAATGATTTTCTATTTCGGTAATTAGGCTTTTATCTGAAACATGTCGATCTCAATTTTAGCACGGCGTGCATGACGATCTTTAAGCATGCAAAGTGCAACAGCTCACCACATCTCACAGGAACGGCATGGCGACCTCCTTGGTCGTCAGGAGCGCCTGGCGACATATATTCGAACTGTAGATTTCACCTTATCTCAATAATTAATTGTTGGAACGCATTATCTCATGAAATTTTTTTCCAACAACATTATCTCATTGATTTTGTCTATGAAAAACCATCACATATTTCTAAGTTCATGGGGTTAATCAAGTTAAATCATTTTATTATTGTTATTACCGACAGATTAAAAGTAATTTAACTTTGAAAATTATACTTGATTTAAATTTGCCAAACGTCTCTATATTATTTTAAATATTAAAATCTAGGGTCTTTTTTTAAATTGAATATCTGTATTATTTAAATTTACAAAATTTAGCCTCTTTGTTAACTTATGTTCAATTTTATCATTAATTATTGGCCTAAAAACAATTAGAAATATTTAGAATTAGAAATTATTTAACCTTTTTATAGTCATCAAATCAACAATTACTAATAAATTAAATCAAAATGAAAAAATAAATCAAAATTTACATTTTTGAGACTAGATTGATAAGCTTAAAATAGTATAAAGACCTTTACATATTTAAACTATTAAAATATTGGTCAGCCTACAACTGCGTAGTGAAACATGCAATACACACGTCCTTTTACTGATCAAAATATACCAAACTTTGTTGTCTACCACTTCAATTCCCTTTGACTCATTACGTTATGCAAGTTTATTATTATATTAGTATTACCATATAGTTTTAATATTCATCTCCATATTTTAGATAGGTATAAATATCCTCATAACCCTTAATTGGGCCATATATGTCTTAAAGTTTTCGACTATATTGAAGCATGATTCAGCTTTTCAACTCCATTGATTTCTCACAATTTGTGATCGTAACACTTATTGTTCTCCTCTTAACGTCCGACCTTGAATTCATCTCCATGGCGAAAGACTTCTGTTGGTGTCGAGTTGAGAGACTCCACAGTCTCTTTGAACCCCACCAGGACTACGATGAAGCGGATTTCGATGACTACGACGGAAGACCTTCACCGTCCCAGGTGCCGGTGCCCTTCATGGCTCCTGTTGTCTCAAAGTTGATAAAGACGAAGCTGCCGGTGGTTGAGTTTGGAAGATCGAAACTAGGAGCCGATATCGGGGAACAATCGTCGTTGTGGGCTGAGTGTGCGATATGCTTGGAGTGCGTGGAGGGTGGTGAAGAAATCAGAGAGCTCGGCAATTGCAGTCACCTGTATCACAGAGCGTGCATTGATGGGTGGATCGATCAGGGTCACGAGACATGTCCCTTGTGCGGGCGTAAGCTACTGCCGTTTGAAGCTATTGCTATTGCTCCTGCTGCTGCTGATGAAGATAAGGAAGTCAAAGGCGTATATGATCCATGGAGGTTGGAGAGAATGGCATATCTGTTCGGTGATAATTATTAATTATTGTTTTCACAAAATCAAATGAGATTATTGATCCTTGTTTTCTCTGCAAAAGGACTCAGAATTAAGGAGTGAATTGCTTTGTTCTTTCAATCAAACTTAATTTCTGCATATTTTCTTGTTGAAAAGCCAGCCTGCCAAAGAAATTGAAAAGCCAGCCAACAAATGGCCAAAGAAACTTTCGGTGCACATGCAATTAGGTGGCTAAAATTATTGATTTTTTGAAAATGGTAAAATCATTTTTAGTCATTGTAATTTAGGGTATTTATAAATTAGTCCTTAAGTTTCAACTATAAATACCACAGCTCATTTAGCTTCAAAATCATCCCAAAGCATTCTAGCTTTCTTTCAATACTAGAGAGAATTTAGAGAGTTTCTTGAGAGTTGTTTTCTCCTTTTTATCAAGAGAGAATTATCATTGTTTTCTCCTAGGTAGATCGAGAGAGGTTGTAATTCCTATTTTCTCATAGTGAAATTCTTCTACTGTTGTCCGTGATTTTTACTCTATATTATTTAAGGGTTTTCCACGTAAATTTTGTGCCTCTAACATGTCCAACTATATGCTCCACCAATGATTCAATGCTATTAATGAAATCCACTCAATTTAACGGAGGTTTGTCGTCAGTTTGTTTATATACTCTTTAACTTTTATTTTTTTGCTGCTGGTAATCACCTCCTTCACCCTCTTCCAGCGAATAATATCTATTAGTGAGTCATACTTTGAGTCCAAATTCCTTCGTTCTTATAGCATTGGCGCTGCAAATTTAAAGGTTAGAGATTTAAAACTTCAGTGGTTTTGGCAATGGACAACAGCAAATAGAAAACATCAAATACGTACACCAATGTGGTTCATTACTTGATCTTGTCTTTGAATCATGAATTCCACCAATGTAGCATCTAAAAGCTTGAAATTTTCTTATTAATAATAGGTCAAACACCCATGGTGACAGCATAAATCATAGAGCAAAACTTAAACCTTAACAAGAAGCAAAACAACTCAATTAATATTAACATAAATAAAAAAGTATTCGCATTAGAGAAATTAATAATATATAATATTAACGAGAAGATACAATCACTCGTAATCATCTTAAATTAATAAAAAAATATTAGCAAGAATATACAATCAATCGAAAAATGTATTAATGATATTATTTTTTTAGTTTTTTCAATAAGTATTCATTAATTTATTAACAACTCTCTCATCAAATATTACAATATTACATCTTCAACAAATTCGAAAATTGAGATAATTATAGAAGTAATTAGTCACGATGATTTTCATAATTTTTTTAATTATTTATATGATTAAAAAATTCTTTGAGCTGTAATATAATTATAACTGGTCATATATTCTTAATAATTTTATATTTATTTAAATTATGTTGTATAAAAAATCAAAACAAAACGTTAACATAAATAAAAAAAAGTATTTACATTCGAGACATTAATGATATATAACATTGGTAAGAAGATACTACCACTTGCAAATAAAATCAAAATTATATTAACATAAATAAAAAAAATTATTTACATCCAAGACATTAGTGATATATAACATTAGTAAGAATATACTATCACATGTAATCACCCTAAATTATCAGTTGGAAAATATATTTAATTTTTATTTTTTTAATAAGCATTCATTAATTTATTAGCAAGTTTAATATGATCTATTGATAGTATAAGAATTTATATAACATAATTAAATTAAAATGTAAAATTTTACAAACATATATGATCAATTATAATTATATTCAGCTCAATAAATTTCAGAATCATATAAATAATTAAAAAATTATGAAAATAATAATGACTATTACTTCTATAATTGTGTAGATTTTCGAATTTGTTGAAAATGTAATATTGTAATATTTGATGAGAGAGTTTTATATCTATTATAGTCTTCATTTGGCAAAATTATTTAGTATTAAATATATATATTAGCTGACCCTATTCACATATGTAATGGGATAAAGGGGAGGTAGGGTAGTAGGCTGTCCCAACTAGATTGAGAGCAACTTCCGTGAAAAACCTCCAACAATTATGAATTGCCCACCGTGAGATTCGATCCCACAACCACAAGGTTAAGAATTTTGCGCTCTACCAACTGAGCTGGACGGGTAATTCGTATTAAATATATAGATATATGTATATCCGGCAACGAATATGTGCTATATATTAAGTACTTTTCTTAATTAATGATAATGAATCAGATGCCTATTTCACTTTATATATATATATATAGGAGAATCCGGAAACACTGCAAGCAATTTGATATTCATAGATGTTATGCCCGCCATTATTTGAGGTTCCCAATCAAACAAATCAAACAAAAAAGTGTATAGTTAATTTAATAATTTGATTCTGATTCGTGATAAGTCGGTAGTCCTTTAATAGTTTATTTTTTTATTGTTCGTTTGTAGATATAGTCAGATCTATTCGTAATTATTTTTTTATTTGGTGGTTTTTAATTTTTTTCTTTATAAGGTTCTTTTGTGATTTTAAGTGTATAGTTTGTGTTAATGATTATGAGAAAATGTCCTTATTATATATATAGTTTACTGTTATAGTTATATATCTTTATTGTAATTTGAATTTTTTTCTACTTTTAATAAAACTAATGGTTTCTATTCAAAATTAATGTCATCCATCTAAATATTTTTTTATAAAATGTTACAATTATAAATAAAATATGATTTATTTAAATAATAAAATGAGGGTCCGTCAGATACATTGGTATTCAAGGTTGGACCTAGACGGGTAAATAATGGTGGTCGCTTCCCTAAGATTTTTGAATTTTTATACATTTTAAATATTATTTTATATTTTTACTAAAAATCCGATCCCTAAAATTTTATAATCTTATCTTAGCCTAAAATTTTATAAATTTGTTAAACTTAACATATATGGTGGCTGGATAGTATTTACAGTTACAGGACTGAGATAAGATGAAATTACAAGTCGAAAAAACAAATGCAGAATGGTGGCCAAGTTTTGTTGCATGTAGAGCCATGCGTCTGAACATTAAATCCCTTGTGCGGGAATCCATGGCATCCCCAATTCCCCATCCCTACTATTGTTAACCGACAAAACCCCCCATTACTGCAGTCTGAACTGAACGAAGTAAAGATAATAAAGAAGAGGAAAATGGAAGAAGATGAATGAAGCCCATTTTGCATTAACTTTTTTCTTACCACATTTGCTTATTACGACCACATGTTATGTTCCTCTCTGCAACTGTGATTCAGATAGTTTACAAAAAAGAAACTAAAGTACCAAAGCTAGTAGCTACATATGCATTGGCAATGGAGTTTCATATATCGACTTTACAAGGAGGAGCTCCAAGCAAAGGCACGGGTCCAACCACACCCTTTTTCAAACCAACCCAAACATCGCATCTCACATAAAATCCATACTTCAATGTCCTGATCGCACCAGCTTTCCATCTTAATTTCCCCAACAGTACCACCTTCAGCGCCACCACACCGTACGTCTCGTCTATCATCAGTCCATTCACCACTTCCGCCGACGCCGGCACCATCCCGCTACCGAGTACAGGCGACAACGACACCGTTCTCTTCGTCTCGTGGTACAGCGGCGGCAAGTCCATGGTAGGAGTGATCTGTTGGTTTCTATACGAGACGTAAGCTTGCAACTTGTTGTAAAAGATGGAGACTCTCTTGTTTGGGTTCCTCGTGACGATGGTGAACTGCATGGAAGTGGAAATGAAGGGTTGTGAGGTGGCGTTGAGTCCGTAGATGGCGGCACCAACGACGATGAAACGAGGTTTGTGGGGACGATAGATGAGCCACACGGTGAGGACGGCGGCTCCTGCTAAGAGGAGAAAGATGAAAATGCATAAGCAACAGAAGCGGCGGGCTGCGCCTCCTTGGTCGGGGGCTGGAGGGTTGGGTTTAGGTGGCTTTCCTTCGCCCATATTGGGTGGTGGTTGCTGAGGCGGAGGATCTTTCGGTGGTTGGTTTTGGTCTGTCATGGGAAAATGAATACAAACGGGGAGCTATTTGTAGTGTAAAATGGATAATTCCTGGGTGGTGATGGTGGGGGCGGAGAGTGACGGTGTCCCATGTATATGAAAAACAAAGGAGAAGGAGAAGAACAGGAGTGAGAAACGGAATAATAAAGTGAACAGGAAAGATGGTTCGATGGGTGTGCTAAAGTGGTTTTGTGGATTCTCTTTCTTTTCTCTCAATGACATTTTAATTAGTGAAAAAAATAGGTGTGAAAAATGTAGAATTGAAAAGGCAAGCATATGGCGTTAGCAAAAGCACTCGGGTTGAAGATAATATATATATATATATATAACTATTGTTAAATATATAATACAATAATTATTCGAGTCAGATCAATAATTATTTATTTTAAATCTAGTTTTAGTTTGCTTTTTCACAAAATTCGTCTACAATCAACATACATCTCAAATATAAGTTAAAAAAAATGATTTTATAAAATTATAGTATCAACATTTGTCTCTATCCATAGAGTTCAAAAATATTTACAATATTAACTACGTGTAGCAAGTTATTCAATGAGTATTAACAACCATACATATAGGGTAAAAGAACCAAGAATACCTCACTAAATAATTACAATATTAACTCTATAAGTTGGATGCAGAAAATTACTGTGATCGCCCAATAGCACACACTAATGGAGCTTGCAAAATATTTTCGGTTAACATGTTTTCCTACTTTTCTTCCAAAAACCCCTACTCAAACAGGACATTAAATGGTTTCATGTTTTCAGCAAGAAGGGAAGACGGGTTTGTATCGTCATATATTAGGAGCATCAATATCATTTACGGGGTGTCATTTTGCACTTGACGGGCAAATTGTCCTCTCACTCGGGGACGCTGCTCTACTAGTCTTTTTCGGCTCTGATATCGAACCTGTGCAAAGAAGTTAACCGTTAAAGAAATGGACATGCTTCTACAAAATGGTTTCTTACCGATTTTCTTTTCTCACCACAAGGCAAACTAGGATGTTATCTCATTCGTGGAAGTTTACAAGGTAAGTCTGAATATAAATTGTTTGGATTTCGATGCAAATTAAACATTAGGGTCTAAACTTGGTAAAAATATACTTACACCTACAGCAGGGCCTCTACAAAAGAAAGGACCTATTGCAATAATAGCACCTTAGAAACATAAATGATGGATTAGAGGAAACAAATTTGATAAAATTCGGCAGAAGAGCAGTTGTGGCGCCAAGCCGCATATAGGTGGAAGAAAGTACATGGATGTCTGAATACAACAAAAGTCCCGTATGCAAAGCTTTTGGCCAACCTCACCAAATACAATTATAGCAGTAGTAATAATATACCTTTTTCTCAAAGCATCGATCTTTCCGCTTGAGCCGGAACCTTGTCAAAGCAGCTTCTCTTTGGCTGGACCTCTGAGTATCCATCCCTTTCGATCAATCAGGGATAAAGAAATTGCCATCATTGAAAATACCAGTATTTGTGCCCCTATCAATTGCAGCAGCACAGGTAGTACTAGCGCCTGCATCACTCCTACTCAAAATATCTCCATGTGCGCTGACTTTTTCATGATTATCAACACCATCACAAAAACTGCTGAAAGCACTCTGATTAGCAATAGGAGAAATGCACCTCAGTAGCCTGACGGGCTCCTGCTTAGTTGGTTCTTTGACACTCTTGTCAATGGAGCAGTTGGTTGCTTCATTAGACCGGTGGTTACCTTGTTCTGGGTCATGAACATCAGGATTCATGTGAGCTGAGGTGCTCACAGAAATGGGAGAATATTCTTTCCGTCCAGAAGGATCAGAACTACATTCAAGGGGTGGATTTGATCGTGCATAATAAACGTGACGAAAAGCATTATTACATCCAGCATGCAAGTCATCCATCCTCAGCCCTGGAACATCAATCAGCTCAAGTTGGGTACTCGGAACTAATAGCTCTGACTGACTAGTGACTGGATTAGTCAGATTCTCCTTACTATCACTCATTGTAACAACATGAGGATGAGAAGTATCATTGTTACTTTCCAGGTCTGATTTAGATTTATTGTCATCTTCTTTCAATGCATCTTGGTTGCCAGCTGGTCTAGAGAAAACGGGCTGTGAAGATTTGCTATTGTTATACCTGCAAAAATAAATTAGCAATCATCAGAAAACTGCATGCTACATAAAATTTGAAGATATAGAGATTAGATACACCACCACTTCTGTTATTGGGGATTTCAGCGAGTATTGAATAACCTCACCTCTAGATTGCTTCCACTGTCCATGGATACACCTATGTCTCTAGTTCTCCACAAAATGTTTCTATTATACAATTGTTCAAGAAACATAGATTTTTAAGAACAGACAAAGAAGTCCTTTGATAGGGTAAAATATGGAGAAATGAATAAAATGAAAAATCCTGAGAGCAACTCGTTTGGTTTCTCCACAATAGATATCAAGTGAACAAAGAAGGGCCTATTTTTCTTCTTTTTGCTAAAACATCTATCTATACATCTTAAGGTTAGTATTAACAGAAAGGAAACAGAATGTTTACCATGAAAAAGCTGATGCATTAGAGTGGTTTAGCATGGGCCTTTCACTGGTACCTTGGTTCTTAGAGCTACTCGAACCAGACCTTCTCAAAGAAAGCTCTAACTCGGGAGAAAATTCATACTTGCCGGTACCATCACTTGAACTAGAACACGCAAAGGTGCCTTTTGGTAGATTATTAAACGAACCAATTAAATCAATTGCCCCACTGATCGGTTTAACCAGCTCATCATTGCAGCCAACCCTGATAGTAGCATTTGCGTTTCCTCTATTAATTTGTTGTCCAACACCATCACCATGAGTCGTCTCTTTAATGTAAGCAGGGTTTTCTTCCAATTTGGATGCATCTGATTCACAAGCTTCACTGCAACAAGCAACCTCCTTTACCTTCACCAATCTATATGAATTTTCTAAAATAAAGGACTTGTCAGATATCCCTGGTCATAAAGAGGGCTGAAATCAGAAAAGGGATCTAAATTTTTTGTAAAACAGCACAACATACATTCAACTTGACCTCCATTTCGAAGTGATTCTTGACCCATTTTAACAACAGTTTCTTACTGCTTCCTGCCTGCATGTACTCTTCCCCTCTGAAAGACCCTGCATATTTTGCATGTATGTACTCTCAGCTTTTCTGCACAAGTGGTGGCACAGCATGCAATCTCTATGTGAAACTTAATGAAGCTAACCTAATTGTTCTGCAAAAGAATTTTTCCTCAGATATGCAATTGCATCATGGATCCGGGATTCTAAGGTAGATTTCGATATCAGTACATCCCCATACAAAAATAGGAGATTACTTAGCTTGGCAATATGCAGACACCTAACAAATTATAAATTCCATTGGTTGTTGGACATTCTAAGAACGCTCTATCTCATAGACAACGATGTTATAAAAGTTACGCAAAACCATCAACATATTACAGAACCTGAGCAGCACTATCAAAGCTGTTATCAAAACCTTTACCGAAAGATAAGAAAATGCTCACTTTGGTATCACTTTCTTCTTTATTTTTCTGTGTAGACGACCCATAATCACTGAACTGGCTGCTCTCGCTCTCACTCTCAGCATTGGTTTCAGCATTATTTTCTGTAGCAGGTAGCTTAAGAGGAACACCGCCACCAGCTAGCTGATAAAAAGTAAAGCGAAGACCAAGAAAAAGGTGAATCCAAGTTAAATGCTTGATTTCAGCCAAGAAAAACAGAGCAACCGTTGTATACCATGTGTCTTTTCCAAACATGCTGCCAGAGGTTTCTCAATTCATTCCTCCGAACAGGTTTGATAAGAAAATCAGCTGCACCTTTTAACATGCACTTCAAACCCGTGGTAATTGAATCTTGAGATGACATCACTGTTTAATCATCCAAAAAAGGGAAACTAAAATCTTAACATATTAGATTCGCATCTGAAAGCAACAACAAGCTGTTAAGTTGAGACTTCATACTCATAACAGGAATATTTTTGCAGATATCATGTTCCATCAATGTAAGAAGCGCGAATCCTGATATCGAAGGCAACTCGACTTCAGTCAATTAGATCAATGTTATCTTCTTCCCTCTTTCTTGAATAACAAATCAAAGAAGCAATCCAAGACTTTGTGGTCTTTTATTAGAAAATAAGAAAGGAGGAGGGAAGGGAAGAGTCAGACAAAAAGGTGGGTCATCATTGGCCGATAGTTACCGATGATGACGTGGCGGAACACGGGCAAATGTTTCTGATTTTCTTTCCATTTTTTCGCGGCTGAGTGTGGTGATTGTAGGTGGGGGCCGCCAGACGTGGAAAAGAACACGTGTTGGGCGGACGTGGGATGTTCGAGCCGGCTGCCACGCTGGCATCTCTAAACATGCTTGAGGAGCTATGGTTGAGCATGCGACACGTGGATGTTATGGAATCTGCTTTTTATGTGACATTGGGTTTTTTAAATTTATTTATTTATCTTATTAAGTAAATTAGATATTTTAAAATAATAATAAGAGGAAAGTCTTTTAATAATTATTTTTAAATATATCAAGATTAATTATTTTATTTTGAAATCTAGTCCGATCAAATATTTCACCATCAACTTAAATTGATTCTATTTAAATTTAAATTTTTAAAATATAAAATTTAATTTTATAAAATCAAATCAAAATTCATTAAATGAAGTGTAAAAAAATCATCCCTACCATCATTTCATATCCATTCGATCTTACGAGGTAGCTTTTCCATCACTAAAAATCATGACCATTGGCCAGCCAACCATATAGCAAAATTCTTTTTTGTGTGATATATTTCGGTTCACAAGGCAAAGCACCATTCTCTATCTTCTTTAAAAAGAATTAAAATAAAATTTTAAAAACAACAACAAGACTACAAGAGCACGTGATCAATCATTCGTGGTTCATTTTTGCGAATTGCGACGTGGTATATATTGGGCTAGTCATAATGATATTGAAGGGTGTTTTGGATGAAATATTGAACATGACAAAAGCATGGACGAAACTTATGGACCGCTCATTGAATAACTTTGGTAGATAAATAAATTATTTTTCCTCTCTCCGATGAATTGTATTCTTTTTTAAAAAAAAAATATTTTATTCTCTCGTATTCTTTTAGATAATGGATTAAATTTACTAGAAACATTCTCATTTTTTTCCTTATGTGTTGGTAATGCTCAATCTCACATAGAGCTAGAAACACTATGAGAATTGATATTTAAGGTTTGTATTCTCCACTCTCTTGTTGAATGATAGAGAACAAGAGGGACTCTCGTGCCGCCATCATCGTCCGTCTGGCTTGGCTCGTGGTCAAAGTAATATGTGTATTTAACACGTCCGTGCGAATACTATCTTTTTAGAGAAATTTTGTGAGGAGTCATGATATTTATAGGCTACTGATGACTGTTTAAATTCAAAACATTTTAGATGATAATAGTTGATTGATTAGCTGTCTGATATTAAATAAATTTAACAATTATTTTTCTAAATTAAATCAGAACGTTAAGATATATCTAGACTGATTTCCAGTTTTGTTCAAATGAGAGATAAGTAGTTAATATCATGAGTTACATGTTTTAATTTCAGGAGTTATAATAGTTGAATATTGATGCAATGAACCTGGACTGTTTTTGAGCCAAATTCATCAGGATGTTTCAGCAGTTATAATAGGTTTTAATTCCAGGATTAAAATAATATTAATTTGATTTTTTTGTGGACGATTTTACTCATTTCTAGCCTAGTAGTTCACTCCAATTTATGGTGTACGAAATTTAGAGCGACCATGTTAACCTCGGGACGATCCACCTATTGGAGCTATTACACACTTCGGGACGAATTCGTTTATAAGGCAATGGTCTTTGCCATGACACGGTTTACCGTTTCAACCTTTTTAATTTATTATTTATTTTTATCAATGCTAACGGTGTGATTTTACAGTCCATATTTCTAACAATTTAAAAACGAATTCATATATACTGCAAATATGACATCACCTTTGAGCAAGCTATTCCCGATCTTTCTAAGTTCGATGTACTTTATTGAAAGAATAATCGGAGGTGGTCCCAACGAATCTTGATATTCTTCGAGCAACTTGATCTTGACTACGTGTTGCTCAAGCCATCACCCACCATGCCACCAACCCCAGTTGCCAAAAATGATACTGATGATTCTAAATAATGTCGCCCTAGCAGCTGCTGCTGTTGCCGTCACCACCAACGAAAATTATGATAAGATAACAAAATGGTACGAGGTCACCTGCTCAACCACATGTCTAACAATTGTTTTACATGTTTCTTAAAGAAAGAAATGCCAAGGCGATTTGGGACACTCTAGAGAAGAAGTATGGTGCTGGCGATACAGGCATCAAGAAGTACGTCGTCGTCGAATGGCTTAAATTCCAAATGATGGATGACAAGCCCATAATGGATCAAGTCTATGACTACGAGAACTTGGTCACCAACATCATCGCTGGAGGAATGCAGGTGTGTGAGGTGCTTCAAGCCAATGTCCTCATTAAGAAGCTGCCCAATTCTTGGTCCGACTACCACATTCTCTCAAGCATAAAAGAGATATATTTCACTTGAGAAGCTGGTGGGCCATATGAAGATGAAGAGAGATATTTCACTCTAGCAGCTCTGAAGTGATAGGAAAAGGCAAGGTTTTACTCAAGATGACTTCTGGTAAAATTGTCCTTGATGTTTATGTACATGCCTTGCGTAGAAATTTGATAAGTGGTGGGGTTCTGAATAACGTAGTCATTAAGTTAGTTTTTGAGATAGATAAACTTGTACTTTCCCCGATGATTATGTTGGGAAAGTTTTTTTAAACGGTGTTTTTTTGTCATAAAAACTCAACTTAATAAAAATAAAGCTACCACTTTGCTTACATTGTTGAATCTCTTGATATGACATGTTAGATTAGAACACGTGAATATTAATGCTTTAAAGAAATTGATAAATATGAATATTCTACCTAAACTAGACATAACTAGTTTTAACAAATGTGAAATTTGTATAGAAGCCAAACATGCTAAACATCACTTTAAGACTGTTTCTAATAGAAAGACTAGACTTATTCATACTGATCTAGCAGACTTTAGAAACACTTAAAATAAAGGAGGGAAACATTACTTCATAACTTTTGTAAATAATTATTTAAGATACACAAAAGTTTATCTCCTAAGAACTAAAGATGAGGCTGAAAACTTCTTTCTTATTTAAAAGGCAGAAGTTGAGAATCGGTAAGATAAGAGAATTAAACGGGTTAGATCCGATAGAGGTGTGAATATGTATCTAATTTATTAAAATATATTTTGTGAGAATAATGACATAATTAATGAACTTCAGCCCCTTATTTTCCTCAACAAAATGGTATAGCCGAAAGGAAAAATAGAACTTTAAAATAATAACTCATTATTGATTTTTAAAGGGGTTAAACATGAAATTCTCCCATGTAGCCAAGAGAGCCGAACGTGCCAACTCTGAATCGAATCATGTGACTCGGCTCACCAACACACCTAGCCCGTACTACAATCTTCACTGCTCGGCGACTAGGCCAAAACACTGAAAAATTTCATCGTGTGTGCGTAAGTTTTTTCCCGTTTGGACTGGTATCATGTCTCGCTGACAAACCCAAACACGGAACAGTGTCTCATTCCTTCACCTTAAATCCGATCAATACCCAGTATCTGGATTCTTTCTTACCTCAACAAAGTCTACGCCAGAGCTGATTTACCGGAGAAAGCTGTCAAAAGTGTTGTACAAATTGCTCGAATCCAATATCAGCCTCTTACCCAGACAGTTGAATAGCATTCTTGAGCTTCTCGTTTCTCACCGTAACATCATAATGGCCGCTTTTAACTTTTTCAAGAGTGCCCACAAATGTTTTGATGGTTGCGTTCTGCTTGAATGGGGATCTGAGTATTTGCTTACAAACTGTTCAATAAAATGTTCGGGAAAGATATTGCGCCGGATGTAGACTCGTACAGGATATAATGCAAGCTGCGTAGGAAGAGTCGAGTGAATAGAGCTGTAGCTTTGTTGGAAGATATCAAAACTTAACAAAAGTGACCAAAATTATTATTTACCTTTATTCTTAACTATCATTATCTAACTGAAATCGAAAATTGTACCTAATTTATTCTTGGGGTAGCAAAGGAAAATCGCTAGATACAAATGGAAATTATGTTACGAACCCAAAATTCACATGGATAGGCAACCTAAAGAAAACGTAATTGGTACACAATGAGCACTAAATTGAAGTGAATGGAGACCTCCAGCACAAACTAAGTAAATGTGACCATGTATAGTGAGCATCGATAGTTTGATCACCCCTCTACTTTGAAAACTTAGACATGAGCAGTGCCTTCGGTGAACTTCGGGTCCTCACATCTATATCTGCCGTCAGGTCCGATTCCAAAACCTTTTGGATCTGCAAAAACATTTTCAAGCAGCTGGCTCCGAGGAGGAAGTGGGCTTTCATCCGCAAACTCAACAGCGTCCTCTAACAACTCATATCTTCTTATCTATGGCCTTCAACTCTGCTTCACCTGCTAGATTGTTCTCGATGAGGTACTTCTTCAGGGAAGTGATGGGATCTCTTGCAGCATAGTGAGCTTTCTCAGCTGCCAAAGAAGAACCGCAAAATTGAAAAAGAGAACACTGGTAAACTCTTAAAAGATCTAACTTTGTGAACATCGATATTTCAATGAGAAACCCGAATCCTTAAGAATCATTCATCTACAATCACCATGCTTTAATTCAAGTATAAACATATCAACCAGAGTTCTATGGAACATACAGAGTTTACAAAACAAAATAATCACTTCAACTTTAAGACAACCTAGTACAAAACACATGCAAGCAAGTTCTTCAAGTTCTATCAATGTAATAATAGCCCTAGGCCTA